GCCCCTTCCCACAGACCCCAAGAGTACACTGATGTCGCCGCCAGGGCAGAGCAGAGGGCTGGCACAGTGCAGCAAGGACATGCAGTGACTTGTGTTAGTCCTGCCCTGACAATAGTCTAGTTAGGAGTTAGTTTATCATTCAGGCTCCACTCTTCGCCGTGACCTTGAGCGAGTTTCTTAATCTCTTCGAGCCTCCGTTTATGCATCTGCAAAATGGTGCGAATGGGAACACGCATATCCCAGGATCCTTATGAGGGTTTTGAGTACAAAGGGCTCAGTGTGGCAAAGCGCTTGTAAGTACTTAAAAATGGCGTCTGCTACTATTACTACTCATCCTACCTTATTATTGTTAGTAAAATGATTTCATGTCATTTTTTTTATTCACTTACTTTTCGGTACAACCCTGCAAAGTATTGAAGCAGCAACCATTTCTCTTTGACCAAGGAGTAAACTAACACTCGGAGAAAGGCTGTTTTTGTAAAATCACACAGCTGGACTTGACAGGCACACCTAGCAGCAGGCCACACTGTCTGTAAATATGACGTGACCACAGGCCTCTGAGAAAAGAGTCCTGTAATTTAAAAGTGCACATGTTATTCAGCCAGGCCCCGTGTGAACAGTTATTCAGATGATCATTTTTCACTTGGAGGGGAAAAGCTATGATTTTTTTTTTTTTGGTGGGGGGGGCGGTCCTAATCTTCCGGGTGCCAGCTAGAGTTGGTGTCCACTGACTTTCCCCGCCTCCAAGTCTCCTGGTTTAATCCCAGCAGCTCTCTGCTGAGGGCCTGGGTTGGTAGCTGGTGGTAGCCAGTTTGATGGGTGGATGTGAAGGGGCTGGATGGGCTGGGGCAGGATGAGAGGAAGTCTGGGGGCAGTGGGAAGGGCACTGAGCCCCAAGTCAGAGCCCCTGGCCCTGCCCTTCGCCCATGTGGCCCGTGAGCCCCTCTCTGAGCCTCAGTTTCTCCTTTAAGATCTTGAGGAATCGCGGGGTTTTCCTGGAAATGCAGACTGAATCTGGCATGCCTTCCTGTTGTGACCCGTGTGTATAAACACACTTCACCCATTTTTCAGAGTTTCGTTTTTCTTCGGAATTGAGAGCAGTTGTGGATGGTCAGGGGAAGTGAGAGGAGCGTAGGAGGCACAGGGGGGCCGGGTGTGGGGAGGAGGGCAGCGAAGAGCATCTTAGGAAAGGCTTTCGGGGCCCATGTTCCAAGCCAAGGGACCAGCAGGCAAGACAGTGGAATGTGACCTTCTGTGCATGTTCGGCACCCTAGCGCCCTGTCAGAGGAGTGGAGAACCCAAGGCCGTGGAAAGTGGGTGACGCCTGGGGTACAGTCTCGTTTGTAAGAGCCCTGTGGTTGCTAGGTCACCAGTTGGGGTCGGAGGTGAGTCTTAGGCTCTAATTAAAGGTCACAGGTGACCACAGCTGCCAGGCTGTGGTGTCAGACACCTGAGGTTCAGTTGGGAGCAGGGCCCTGTGTGTAATTTAATTCACAGATTTCCAGCTTACATCATTGTATAGAACAATTACAATGCGTGTCCCTGTATATGCATATATGCATGTAGGCTTTCATGTTATCATGATTATCGGTCATTTATTTAGTAAGATGTAACATACATAACACTCAGCTACAGGCTCCTGCTAAATCAGCCACATCCCAGTGATACTCAGAGATGCATCTGCTTCTTTATCCATTCACTCATTCATTCATTCAACAGTCATACGCTGTCCAGTGGGGGTTGGGGTGGGGAAATCCAGTGGTAAGAAAAATACTCGCCCCTTCCCACACCCCTCAGGGGCTCAGTTTAGTAAAAGCAACAGATAGTAGGATCGAGAGGGTGCCTGTTACAGAGCAAAGGGACCAGCAAATCGCCTCGTAACTTCTTGCTAAATGAAAGAATAAGAGAAGAATAAACGAATGGAGATAAGCAAATGAGTACAGAAAACTCTAGGTCCCTAACCCAGCTTGGAGTGCGGGAGGTGGCGTGTCAGAGGAAACCGTGAATTGTGCCGTTCATCCTCTCATCTGGGAAATAGTGACTGACTTTCTCCCCCGTGCCAAGCGGCGTGCTGGCGGGGTCGGCAGAGTGAGGAGGACAGGCTCTCGCCTCACACTGGAGTCATCAGGCGGATGAGCGCAGGGGATTCTGGGGACGTCTAGTGGCCATGCCTAGCCTCGTCTGGGCGGTCAGCAAAGATGTCCCTGGGAAGTGCCATGGACACTGAAATCCAAAGAATGAGTAGAAGGGGGTGGTGTGAGCCGGTGATGGGACCGGCGGGGAGGTCTGGGTGATAGTTTACAAGGATCCCCTTGTAATTGGAGGAGGTGGCCATGGCGAGCCAGGCTAGGAGCCTGGGACAGGGAGCACCCCCCCCACCCCGACCCCTACTTCTTCTGAAAAGGAAGTTTCATTCCCACAGCTTCTTTCTCTGCCTCTGGCCACTTTGCACCTTGCACACACCCCGCCATCGTCAGCGAGCTCCAAACAGCATGTGTTTATAGTCAACGCCAGCCGGCTTCGGATAAATCTGGGGTCAGTCTGTCACTGATTCCTGTTAATTTTCCACCTGAAATAGCTCTTGACTCTGTCACTCCTCCATGTGCCCATAGCCCTCCCTGCCTTAGTTCTGGTCCTCACCGTCTCGTGACCGTCACCGACATGGGTTGGCCTTTCCTCGTAACATGCGAGTTCAAGGTGTTTTATCGTCGCCAGCGGTGCAAGGATTACAATGATTGTTTTTCGTTAGCTTTCTCTGCATAACAAACAGCCCCAAACCTTAGTGCCTTAAACAACACACATTTGTTATGTCTTCTCTTTCTGTGGGTTGACTGGGCATTTCTTTCGGTCTGGGGAGCTTGGCTGGGGCTTCACGGACAAGCGTGGGGGCTCAGGTAGATTGGCTGGAATGCCTGGTCCTCTCTCCGTGTCATTTCTCATTCTCCACGGGGCTGGCTCAGACCTGTCGATAATGGTAGCAGAATGATTCATTCCCAGAAGCAAGAGAGAGGAAGTCCTGTATATAAGCCCTTCTTAGCCTTTACTTACGTCACATTTGTTACCGGCCCATTGGCCGAGTTATGATTCAAGGGGTGAAGAAATCAGCTCCACCGCAAAGGGGTGCACGTGGCAGGTGGCATGAGCGCAGTGGGGGTTCTGCTGCAGTCTTCTGTCTCAGTGGCTGAGATGAAGACACGGAGCCCAACAAAACGGGGGTGTCCTGTCGTCGGCTGGTCTCCACCACTTACTGCCTTTGTCAGTAAGCTCTCCCCAGCCTGCAGCTGCTCATCTGTAATTGCAAATAATCAGTGTGGCCCCCCTTGGGGATTTTGTGAGAGGGTCAGATGAGACAACCCGTGGTCCACACACCCCTCGGTGTTTGGGACACAGGAAGAGCTGAGCCAGGAGTCTGTTGTTATTCCCAGATAAGGTCTTCCAAAGTCATTTCCTGTCTGGCCTCGCCTGATCTCGCTTTCTCTTTGTCCTCGTCCTCAGAGACACTCTCCCCAGCCTTTTCTTTTTGCCAAATAGCATCTCACTGGTACCTTGATCAAGAAGTAGCTAAAATGATCATCTCCTCTTCACATTCTTCTTTCAGACCGAGTTGGTCATTTTCTCCTCGGTTCTCCCAAATATCACTCACACCCTCGTGTCATGTTTGTCCTGAAGGATTTCTCCATGTGTCTGTTTTCTTCACCCCAGTGGAGTTCCTCGAGGGCGTGAATTGTGATTTACTCACCTTTCTGTCTCTGGCACTTGGCTGTGTGCGTGGAAAAGAATAGGTATTTATTTAAAAAAAAATATTTGCTGTACAAATCATTGGATGAGTAAGTGGAGAAATGAGTGAATGTTTTTTGTTTCTTTTTAAGTTATCTTGCGTCATCTTCAAAAGACCATGGATGAACTAAATGTCAAAACTAACTTAAACTTTCTCCTCTTTCCTTCCAGCTGGCACCGTTTTCAGACTCAGCCTTTCTGATCTGGACCTGCCAATAGAAGTCATTAGCATCGCCAGAGGCTGCAAGGAGCTAACACTCTGAGCTTTGTGGCCAGGACATTTCCATTTGAGGACCAGAGATGGACAGCCCCTCAGCCTCCTGAGGTAAACGACTGACTAATCTTCCCTCCAGGAGTAAGAGCTGTCGTCTTTTCTGGAGTCTTTTCTGGGTTCTTCCGTGGATTACTTTGGGTGGGGGTGGGGACATGTTCCCTACTCCTTGGTCTCTGTGTAACTTGACCTAGTCTCCCAGGATAGTCCATAAAGGAGAATTATTTCTCCCTCAGGGAAAAATGCAGGCCTCGGTGTATCAAGGAACCTCTTTTTCTTAAAAGGAAAGCCTTCTGAGCTTTCGTGAAAACCAGTAAGTAAAAAGCCGGGCTGGGAACATCCTTGTATGACAAATGCCTTCCGTCCCAAAGGAGGCCTGGAATGACACTCTGGTGTGCCTCGGAGTGAGTGTCAGCAAACAGCTGTGACCCACAGGACAAATGTGGCCTGGCCATTTTTTTTTTTGGTAAATAAAACTTTTTGGCACCCAGCCACGCCCATTCATTCCGGCAACTCCACGGCACGGTCGCACAACGGCAGTCGTGACAGAGACCGTGTGGCTGCAGAGCGTACGATATTTCGTCTGTTCCTAACAGGATGCGTGTGCCAGGCTCTGGTCTAGTGCTGAGCTGTCCACAGGTAGCCACTTCCTATGTGGCTGTTTAAATTTTAAGTAGAGAAAATGAAATAAAGTTAAAAGTACCGTCCTCGGTCGCACTCCCCACTTTTCAAGTGCGAATAGCCACACGTGGCTCGTGGCTCCCGTGGTGGACAGGGCCAGCCGAGAACGCTGCCATCGTCGCTTGGGAAAACGGTGATCCCTGGAATGTCTCCTTTTATGGTGCCAATGTCTAAGTCAGCTTGGGCGTGACTATAACCATCACAGAAAAAGGAAGTTTGGAGTGAGTGTGTGTATGCGTGTGTGTGTGTGTATGGGAGGGCTGTTTTATATGATTATTGCTGAAGATCTATCTGCCTGCCTGCCTGCCTATAAAAATGGAATTACTTTTAAAATTTCTTTGAGCCACCGACCTGTGGTCTCTGTATGTGAGTCGATGTGGAAACTAAGCCACTTGGGCCTTGGGATTTATTGGCTTTATGTATATAGTGAGGTAGATAAGATGTGAGCTTCGGCCCTTCCACAGGCAGACACAGTGTCCTCGGTATTCCCATGGGCTGAGGACAGTGGCAATGGAGGGGAAGAAAAAGAGCTAAAGATATGGCACCTGTGAGTCTTGGAAGGATGTGGAATCATCTGGGGGAAGGGATTGTGGGTTTACTTTCCAAGAACCTGTTGAACAAAGGGATGCTGGTTGGGGACCTTACCGGTGTAGAGAAGAAAGAGTTTATCCACCTGGCTCTAGCAGAGGCAAACACTAAACGCCGAGACGGCGGTGGGCAAAGAGTGGCTGTTTTATCACGAATGGCGCCGCCCAGGAGAACGGGAGGCTGGTGCTCAAAAGCCCGAACTCCTCAAAGGCATGTCGGTCACAGCGTCTGTAGGGCAGAATCACAAGGCACTGTGGGTTAGGGGTTCGGGGCCGTGCTGGGAGCTGATTGGTCGAAGGTGAGGCGAGGGTAATGAATAATTTCTTCAGGTCTTGAGGATAGCTCATGGAAAAGGAGCCAGGGAGTCCTCACCCCTAAGGGCTCTGGAACGAAATATGACATGAGGCAGGTTGAGATGTTATCTTTAGCCAGAGTGACCATCAGCCAGCTGCCTCGGGAGTTGTTGACGATCTGGGAGAAAGGCCAGGCATCTGAGAGGGTGCAGAGAGAGGGGGAGATGATTTCTAGAGCTATAGGATTTGAAACTAAATGTAATCAAAGTCCTGAGGACCCTCGGCTTCGAGAGCACATCTCAGAACTGGGCTGGACAGCGGAGACCTTGACTTGACTGATGGCCTTTGAACTCCAGCTCCCAGCAGGAGATATGCAGAATACGTGCCTGATGAATGCTAGTTTCTTTCACGCATCGACAAGTATTTCTGAGCTCTTCCCATGTGCCAGGCATGGTTCTGGGCAGACAAGGACCCCGGGAGTTCATATCTTAGCACAGAGTGGGGAAGGGGAAGAGGTTGAGGGTAAGCAGGAAAAATATATATATATCTGAGTGGTAGGGTCTGGAGCAGGCAGGGGGTGGGTGTGGGGATCAGGAGATATTTTTGGAACCCAGCCGCGGTGCTGATGAGAGATGACAAACAGTGAAGGGTGAAGGAGAGCAGGGTTTGCTGATCAAAGGATGGGCAGGGGTTTTATTTACTCTCCCCCAGGGGACAGTGGCCTCTCCCTGGAAAGCCAGGCCTGTATTTTTCCCCTTGCATCCTTTCAGGCTTGGGGAGTCAGGGGCTCGAACACTCTCCCTTAAAACTCAGGCATTTCCTCCCCGCAAAATAAATGTTACCGGCTAGCCCAGAGGCATACCGGAGGCCAAGACATTCGACAGGATAAGAAGACATCCTGGCAGGCATTAGATATGAAAATGGCTCTGGTCGAAGCTGGTGGAATTTCCGCTGCTGATAACCTTTAAGCAAAGAGCGGCAGTTGCTGCAACGGGTTTTTTTTTTTTTTTTCTTTTTTTCTAAAAGAGGAGGAGACTTGGGAGAGCCGTCTGCGAATGTCTGCAAGGCTTTGGAGGGGGAAAGAATCAACTTGTATGGGCGACTTTCGGAGGGAATCCAAGCAGAATGAGTGAAATTAACGGAGAGAGATTCCCGTTTAGGCTGTGTTTCCTTCTTTCCTTCCTTCTTATTCATCCATCCATCCATCTGTCCGTCCGTCCGTCCATCCATCCATCCATCCATTTATTCAGCAAACACTGGGTCCCTGGCCCCGGGCCCATCACTGGAGATTAAACAGGATGAGACAAAAGCTGTGTCTTCAAGGCATTAATAATGTAATGAGAGAAACAGACAGATTAACAAATCGGTGTTATGCACAGATGCGGTTCCGGGTTTGCTGCGGCCTGCAGCTCATTCAATTTGGGAGTTCTCTTTAAGAAAAAATAATCGAAGTTGTGGATGTAAAATAAAATACAAGGCCTAGGAAGGTGGGGTGCTGCTGAGGGGCCCGGCGCTTACGCGTCCTTGCCGCGGGCCTGGCTGCCCTCGGTTTGCTGTGAAGGAGGCGAGGGTGCCTTCTCTCTCGGGGTACCCGGAGCTGCAGGAGTCGGCTGCGCAACGGGCTGTGTACTGTAGGGAGCTGGACAGACCCTTGGCAGAAAGCCTGGCAGTGGGAATCCTGGCGTCCACAGTGGGTGGACTTAACCTTTTGGGTCCTCCGAGCCCTTGTTCTTGGGCTAACGTATTAGGACCAAAGGCCTTTATCTTGTTAGTGCTGCTGTGGTTTTCGAGGGCGCAGTCCTTACGATTCTACAGGCTGACCTTCTGATCCACTTGTGGGGCTGCGTTCTAGGAAATCGCCCGAATGTCGGGAGTGTAAAGGCCGGTGGAGTGAAGTTTGCCAGGACTTATAAAAGGCTGACTGTGGGTCATAGACTCTCTTACGTGTTCCACACGTTGACGGATTTAACCCCCACAGCCACCCTGGGAGGGAGCTGCTGTCATTCTCCCCGTGTCACTGGTGATGATGGACCCCAGGCACAGAGTGGTTAGGTAATTTCCCCACGGATGCACAGCCCCGTAGAAAGCGGAGAAGCTGGGCTTTCGAGGCACGGCGTCTGCCTCCAGGGCCCAGCCCCCTCGCCGTGCGGCCTCGCGTGACCCTTGCGGCCTGGTCCTTTCATGCCGACAACGGCACCATCCTGAGTGGCGCAGACTGGAAAATGTCTAACGTTCATCTATAGAATGGAATAGTATGCATTCGAGTCATCCCAAGAGCTCTCACTAGCGTGCCGAACAGCTTTGATTATTGGGTCGGAGGTGTATGCATTCGAGTCATCCCAAGAGCTCTCACTAGCCGAACAGCTTTGATTATTGGGTCGGAGGCGGAATACATCGACGATTAGACCGAGTGTCACCTGTAACCACGCTGACAGCGCTTGAGCTCCCTCTCAGCCCTCCTCCCTCTCACGGACACTTACGCAGGCTCATCGGTTCGCGTGTCCGAGCCACATGGTTTCACCGAGTGCTGGTTACTGAGGGTGAAGAGCACGTGGTCTCTGCTCTCGCACAGCTACGTCCGGCCTTCGCCCTGCTCACTCTGCCTGTCCTTTCTCCCTCCGCGTGTCACTCGCAGGAGAGCTCGTCGGTCCCCGGTGCCCTAGATTCACTGGCTCCCTGTACCTGTTGCCTCATTTGTAAAACAGCCCAGCGACCCACAGACCTTCCGGACGTAAGAGTGTCGGCTCCTCTCAGTTGTCAGCAGGCGGCTTTGCAGGCGGGCCCCCTCTCATAATTACCATCTTCTAGGAGGTCAGGGATCCGGCAGCTGAAGCCACGGCAGCCAGCAGCTGCCAGTGCCCCCTCTGGAAGCCGGAAGACCCAGCCCCGGTCGACAGCTGGGCTGCAGGGGAGGAGGCAAAGGCCCTGACTTTCTCAGAACAAGCTTCTAGATGGTTCTCCACTTGTCGGCTGTGTGCCCTTGCCTGCTGAGATTTGTTCTCTGGAGAAAATGGGGCCTGTCCCACCTGCCCCACAGAGATGGGCAAGTTCTAGAACGTTCGAGAGAACGGTCCCTGGAGTGAATGAGATCAGCCAGCCGGAGCCTCCGTCTGCCTCTCTCCAGCTCCGGGAGCTTGGCAGGTGTTTTGCGTCTCTGGGAATCGGTTCCCCATCTGTAAGAAAAGAGGCAATCATGGTACCCACCTACCTGTGAGGAGGGTCTTTCAGGATTAAATGAGATGATGACTCGAAAAGCTGGGCACAGTGCCTGGCCCATAGTAAATGCTGACTCAGTCACAGACGTGATATCAATATGAGTATTTTCTGAAGAGCCACGCTGTGGTGGGACACGGCCTGTGAGGATGGGGGCAGGGCCTCCTCCCTGCCGGCTCTGAGATGGACTTTCCTGGCCTTGACGATGCTAGGGCCGCAGAGAGAGGGACCACCGGAAGCGTGGGAACCTCCCATGTGCTGGTAGAAGCCAGACTTACA